AAAAAATAAATCATTTCTTTTATAAATATATCTTTTTAATCTGTTTCCCAGCAATTTGCTAATTTTACAGCAAAAGTAAGATCTTCAGTGATCATTTTAATGGCAGGTCTTATCATATGAGTATCTTTTATAAAGTTTAAGATTTTTTTTTTGTTTAACAATATGGATATGACTTCCATTCAATCCATAATCAATATGCTCATAGCTTCTAACAATTATACCGGTAATAATTTCACGATTGCTATGAAATTGTATGATATTGTTGATTGTACAAAATGTTCCATCAATATCATGATATATGAAAGAGTTTGAAAATAACTTAGTCACTTTCAATTCATTTAGGCAAGGAAATTTGACTCCATTTACGTGCATACTTTCATATGCTGTGAGCTGCTCAGGTATGTATCCAGCAACATCCCGACTAGAAATTTTAATGTAAGACCTATTGGGTCCCCATTGGGTTGCCCAATGGGGACCACACATAGGGATGTAACGCAAAGCCCTATGTGGCCCTCATTGGGCAATCCCTCTTGGGCCCCAATAGGGAAATCCCCATCAGAACCCCATCTAAATTTTGAAAGAAAAAATATTAAAATTTTCGAAAAAATTAAAAATACTTCAGGATTATACACTTATATTATATTAGAACGCATTAGTGAATTTAATCTCTGATGGAAATGGAATTAGTGGTTGAAAAAATCCTTGGCGTGAGTTGGGCTCGAACTTGCGTCTTTAGGGTCCTCAGTCGTGCACGTTACCGCTGGTCCAAGCAGGAGTACTGTTACAGTGGATTTTTATTTCGTATACATCAACTTAAGCGATTTACTGAGACAATATTCATGTTATATTAGAAATTTAAGAAATTATTTTTTTTTTTCATTCACTTTACTGACTTAAAACTACAGTTTTTGTAGAAACGAAATAGAAAATGAAAATTTTAAAAAAGAAACTTTACTGAAAAATTTTTAAAAATTGGAAAAATCAAAAATATAATTCCTTAAAACTGCCCGATTGATTTGGAATCCTCTTTATACTAGCAAAAAAATTTTTTTTAGAAAAATAAAATTTTTTTGAAATCCAAATTTTTTTTTAAATTACATTTTTGATTTTTTTTTATCTGCTTGTTTTTACGGTGCATTTATGATAAAAAAATGTTGTGAAAGAAAAAAATAAAGATTTCAATAGCTTATTTGCCTTTGATGTTGAGAAAAAATTTTGGCTTTCATGTTTTTGCATAAAATTTCTATTTTATCTTTTTTCGATGTTTTTGAATTTTTTCTAAGTACATAAAAAAACGAACAATTTAAAAAACAATTGTTCAATTTGATGAAAAAAAAAAATTTAACACAGCTTAGCTTGGGTTGACCTCACTTGTAAGTAATTACCAAATTTTCCTATATCGATAAAAATTTCATTATCAAAAATTTTAATTTTTTTTATAACACAAATTCTTTTGCAAATGTGAATCTCCTCAAAAGTTGGATATTCTTCAAAAATTGAATTCTTACATATTGAAAATAAAAATTTTTTTCAGTGAAAATTTTTTTTTGTAGTAAAAAGAAAAAAATTTACGTATGAATCTCGTTTCAACAACATTAAAAATGTATTTCAGTCTAACAACTTAGTATTTGGATTTAATCTGAAATTGATCCCAAATTAATCTGGGATGACGCTGCTAAAAAACTCCGGATTCACTCCGTGCGCGAATTGCTTAATTACTTCACTCCGAAACTCCGAGTGATGGGATTAAATTTTAATTCTGATTAAAATTTTCTTCGAATTCATCCCAATATGTTACAATTTATTTTTAATCTCGTAAAACTAAATTTTTTATTTCTAGTCGGGATGTAAAACTTCAAATTCCTCTTCTGACAAAGACCGTGCTCTTGACTCTTTTTCGACAATAAACTTATATCGTTGTTCTATTCGGCTGTCATTTATTACTCTCAATTGTTTAACTCAATTGTTATAACAAATTTTTTTTTTTTAATAGTTTGCGAACGTGGACTTAGCGCGATTTTACAGTGAAACTGTTTTTGTTCGGATTAAATATTACAAAATATTTGAAAAAGTATAAAAGTCAACATTTATCATTTAATGTTCAAAAATATGAAAATTAAAATCGGAATTATTCCTTTTTATATTTAAACGTTTTCATAATTAGAATATCTTCTATTACTGTTTGAAATATCAATTAATTCTGTATAATTATTTAATTATTACATTTGAATAATAAATAATAGAAATAGTGCTTATTATCAATTGATAAATATTTATATTAAATCCATTATTTATATTGTTCTAGATTTTTATGCGATTCTTAAAGCTAAAAAAAATGTTAATAATCAATAATATTTGATTTCTTTTGTTCTGAAAAAGTCTCGAAGAATGTCGGGGAAACGTGTATTTTCAGAATTATACGCATTTCGAATATGAGATTGGTGGTTCGAGTAGCCAATAGTAAAGTATGCTTTGTTCCATCTATTTAATAAATCCCACCAACATCGACGCACATTTCGATGCGCGTTATTTGGGCGGGATTAATACCAGTGTATCGTGTATCTGCGGAGTAGTAAAGTCCTAAGTCAGTCTTTCTTGGATACTTGCCGCAGTTCCGTGGAAGATTATTTGAAAGAGACCATCAAATTCGCCAAAAAAGAGAAAAACCTGCACAACAAAACGATACTGATTTTCTGCAGCAGTGAAAGTATAATTAAGCATGTATCATATGACATAAAAAATAAATTTTATCAGCTAATTCCAAATGCACGAGCTTATTTGGAACTTGTATCAATAATAACATTAGCAGATTCATTAGAAGTTACTAGTGCGGTACTTTATCAAATCTGTAACGTATTGATGAGTAAGAGTGAAAAAACAGCACAAGAGAGCATTCAAAATTTAAAGTGGGATAACAAAAGCAAATATGAAAAGTCCATAGATGATATAATCCGAAAAACATGTGAGTCGATGCAAAAAAAAGGGAGTGAAGAAGTTATTAATAAGGAAATTCTTCAAAGTTTAGCAGATTCACCACCAATTGCTATGGAATCACCCTATTATCAGCTGTTTGCTTGGGAAATAAAAACCCAAAAACAACGAATCGCTGAAAAAGAAAAAGATTTTGAAGAAATTACTAATAACCTACATTCACCAAAATTTATGAATTACATAATGTTAACGCTAATTCCTTTCTTATGTTTTGTGTCAAAGATTCTTTCTGAGAGTGTAGACTACACTGTCGCCTTAGTTGATAATGAAGTTGAAGATAATTTTATAAAAGATTACGTAACGAAAGATATGAAGAATAGCAAAGACAGAAGCATAGCCAACATGTGTCGTGAACTTATAAAGTGTAATGACTTTCTAGTAAATAAGAACACCGTACAGGAAAAGTCAAATAGAGTCGGGATAAAAGTCACAGAATACCCCAGTCATCCAGAGCTGGCATCAAACCCATTTGTGACGGAAAAATGGGACCCAACGGGGAAAACCATCAAAGATCAAGAGGTAAAAGTACGAAAACTGAAGCGTAAGTCGGGAAAAGAATTTATTAATATTAACAGACGTATAGAAGAACCTACAAATGATAGAAAACCAAAAGACAACATCGACGTCACTAATGATTCTCACAACAACGTGGGTATTTCTCAACTGATGGAGATACCAACAAAACAGGACACTCGTTTAAAAACAGTTAAAAATTATAAACAGGAGCAACAAATGCAACAGCAAACTGAAAATAAGAAATTACAGATTCAATGAAAACTTCCGAGACTGTAAATATTGCTGAAGAGTTGTCAGGATCAATGGTAAGAAAATTCAGTAATGGAATCGTTGAAAATATTGAATATTACAAAGACTTGTCATCTGAACCTATTAAAATTGGCTCTTACAATTGTAAGAATAAAAAATGTATTTTGTTCAAAATATACGATCTAGATACGAAATTATTCGATACATTAATAACGAGAAACCAATGGAAAAATGGACACATTATCGACATCTATACTTTCAGCCACATCTGTTGGATCCATACTCAAAAAGTCAGAGTATTGAACGGGTCGCCGAAGCGTTTGAGTGTTATATTGATTTATGCAGTTCCGAATCATTTTTACGAGAACTAAGAACGAGAAATTGGATTGTGAAACCTAGCCGATCACGGCCAAACCAAGCAGTTGAAGATGGAAGTAACTGTGGAATTTATGTAGCGTATTATATCGAGTGTATTGGACGAGATATAACAATGGATGAAAATATGCAGCCATTGCAATTACGACAAGAGATGGCTCGTGCAATTTTACGTACTTCTCAAGATATGAAGAATAGTTGTATTTACTGTGGTAAAGAGAAATGCACAAAGAAGCAAAGAAAAATCACATGTCTGATATGTAAAAGATGGTTTCACAATCCTCACTGCTTGAAGGTTAAGCCGACAGACTTGACGAATGATCAAGAAGCCGAAGACAGTGAAAAGTGTCAATTTTGTGTAAGATACGAGAAATTAAAGTAAGTGAGGAGACTAAGAGTAAAGTACGCAAATAACGATTACAGGCTGTAATTTACAGCCCACATCACAGACATTCAAGCTCACGATGTCGATTCGAGCATAAGATAATAATTCTGATTCATGACAGATATACGAACCCACAATGGAAATTCAAGGCTCATGACGATTATTCGAACTTATAATGATCATTTTGGCTCATGATAAGTATTCGAGCTCATGACGGCCTATTACGGATTAAAATATGTAATAATTATAATCTGAAACTGTAATTTATTGTCCAGTTTTCATCACGAATTTCTTTTTTCCGTGTATAATAAATAATAAGCCGTCACCATATAGATTTAGCTTATGAGAAGGATGAGATGTGTATCAACTCTCATCGGTTGTACGGTGTAGGGGTTAGTTATGGGTCTCTACATCAAAATCAAAATAAAAAAATGATATTTGAAAAATTCTTTTTTTATCAAATGGCATGGGTCAGACTTGAAAATTAACTATGGCCCAGTCCTGATAACCAGGCATGGCCCAATCCTGGTAACCCGACATAGGCCAGTCGTGGTAACCAGGCTTGGGCCAGTGTTATCATTCCAGACTTAACCCAAGACTGGGCCAACTCTGGCTTACAAGCCTGGCCCAGAGTTGTGCATAGTTGAACCGGGCTTGGGCCCGCTATACTTTCCTACATGGGTATCACTCTAAGACTAAGAATTATTAACCCTTATATTTTAACAATAAAATTTTTAACTTTTTCTTAAATTTAATTATTGTAAGTTTTTAAATCGATTTATTCATTTCTCAAGTAAAAAATCAATCGATGTTAGATATATTTACACGCATGAATCAATGAAATTTAACGGTGAAATTAAAATAATTAACACTTTTTTTCCCTGATTACTTCACAGGACTTGGCTGCAGATGTTGTCACGAAAAAAAAATTAGCAAAATAAATTTTACAAAACTAGATTCTATATCAGACGCAGTACCGTATATCTTTGAAGATTTTGAGGATTTGAAAAATTATTTTTAAGCAGCAGCACTAAAATTATTGAAATCGGCAATAAAAGAAAAAATAAAGAAAGAAAAATGGCCATGTCGATTCTGTAACAAGATAATAAAGAAAATAATACATAAGAGTATTATGCGTGATAACTGATGGCACTGGTTTCATTACACGTGCCAAGAAGTTCCAGACAATCTTTCAAAATCAGAAAAGTGGTTCTGTGCACTGTGCAGTGACTTATGATCTCTTAGTTACAACTCATATAACTGCATTGATTTCCAGTAATTAAATAATATATAATGAATTGCAATAGTTGTTATATACTATTAGCTAAATAATTTGCACGAATGTAAACAATGCATAGTAATTTTTAAATAGGTAATTATTATCTTATTATTTTTCATATAAGATCTATTTAATTTTTACTAGAGTACTGTTATAAAGCAAATTACAATTAAAAAATATGAAATGCTCGCTAAATGATTTTTTAAGAACTTAATACACAGTAATCAAAATAGAATATTAAATAAAAATAATTGATACATAATTTTATGATTTTTTTACCTTAAATTTTGTGACTTGCTTCTTTATATAATTAAAGACTTGACTTTATGTTATGTAAATGCAGCAAAACACGAGGCGTAGGATGAAAATCATGACTCTTGAACAACACAGAAAAGTGATAGACTTATTCTTCTTCCACAACATCATCAATCACAGAATAGATAGCTCAAAGATAGTGAATGAAATAAAACTATCAGTATCTACTGAAATCCAAACGAAATATTTGCTACAGTGAACGAATATGATAATGATTTCATGTTTTTTTTTAATAGTAGTTATACTACATTTAAAAAGAAGTGTCAAAAATGTTAGATGACTTCTAAGTGATGAGTTTTATATTCAAATATTAATTAATATTAAGTAATTCACTATTACAAATGAAATGAAATAACTTTGAAAAATCTTTGTAATCGAAATCAGTTATTGTCAGTAAAAAATAAAAATAGTCGATAGTTTCGTCACAAAATTTGAAATAATTTTATTTAAAAAATGAGATTCTTTAAAGTGAGTAGATAACATTGACGTAATAGTAATTATTATTTAAATATCATGATGACATTGGAAATATTCGTAAAGTGTCTCAATAGGCACTCTATAAAGTGTGATACATTTTTCACTGTTATTGGAAAAAAAAGTTTGAATATCGACTTATAATAGTGAATTTAAGATTTGAATAAAAAATCAATTCTTCAATTATTATTTGACGTATTAAATAAAATAGAAGACATATGAACTTTAAAGATGATAATTGACAGTAAGTTAAGTTTTTTTTAATTTTTTCGTATGAAATAAATTTTTGCACTTTGTGTTTGTTGAGTGTAGAAAATAATGATAATTAGATGCGCAGAACTGAAACAAAAAAAAAAACAAAAATTAATAAATAAATGTTATCAGTTATCTAACTCTGAAAAAATAATAGATATTTACCTTAACAAAATTTATTTTTCAATGGAATATTTTTTAAGAACAGCAAGGAATAGAAGTACTTGAGCCTCTTCTAATGCTTTCAACTCTTTCGTATTTTTAAACTTGACAAAATTGTCAGCCACATAGTTGATAGCTACTTTCTTCAATCGTTTCGCGTTGTAACGGTCCGCTAAAATCAATATTCTTACAGCATTTCCAAGAGTTAAAGTTGTTATTAAAAAATCTTCACACATTTCTTTGAGTCCTTGGAGCTGATACTTGTCAGACGCTTCCAACAATTCTTCAGCAAAAGTCTCCAACTCATCAACTTTGTCTGTATAAATGTAATCAATAACTTTTGAGAAAACTTCAGGATCAATATCTGGTATGTTGATTTCGTTCTTTTTGTTTTCTTTCATATCATAAGAAAACATAGCTTCAAACACGCAGCTACGAGCAGTCAAAATAAACTTGTGAACATCAAACTTTTGATCCCCAACATGGATTATCACATCGCATCTCTTCTTGGCAATAAAAAGATCTTTTAAGTCATCACCTAATTTACGCTTAGAATTTTCCAATGACTTAACTTGATTTTTAACTTTAACATAGTCATCATAGACAGTCAGATCAACACATACTGTTAAAGTATCATTTGGCAAAAATTCATCTTTTTTCGAGAATATTTCATCTACTACGGCGAAATTCTCATAACCTAAAGAAGTTGCTGGTGATACGAAGAATCTATCGTTGAAAAACGTTTGTTCATTAGTAGTAGTAGCACGGATATTGTTAACATATATTTTTTCTTTTTTACCATTTAGAATAAAAATCGAAAATCTTGTTCTCACTTCCTTCTCTGCATTTCTTAATTCCAAAAAAAGTGCTATGACAAATTTTTTTTCAGAATTTTCGCCAATTTTTAAATGTAAATTCCATGAATCTTTTACTTTCATACTTGATGAAAAGGTGGGTGACCTTATCTCTTTAGAAACTTTTGTAGATTTAGCAGCATTAAAAAACGACGTTACTTCGTTGATTTCCCAGGTGTAAACAACGGAATGTTTCTCTGAATGAGAACAACCGCCTTCCATGTTCTTTTTTTTTACTTTAATTAAATCTTATGATGATAATAAATTATTTATTTAATATTTTTAACAGTTGTTGATTTCTTTTTTAATATAATAATTGGTCAAGTTTTTCAAAACAGAACAATATCTGTTGTTAAAAAAATTTTATGTTGTTTTAATAATAACCTCTAGTTTCCAGTGGTCGTATTACGGTACGGTGTGAACCAGTGTGAACTAAGCCTAAGACTAGTAGTGTTCTTTCGACTATCGATATAGTTAATTCGATAATACTTACGCTCCGACTGAGAGAATATTTAAATTTATTGAGATTTCAAAATCTTTCATCTCTCCTTTGTTGCTGACAATGACACTTACGTTGTCTTCAAAGTCATGAGTAAGGCATCGTGACGTTGTCAAAACATTTGGCAACGCAGGTAGACTCAAAGATTACGGGGATCACAGAAGAGACAAGTAACAAACGAACGAGACAGATACAGGGATAACTAAATATTATAGCTCAACAGGCCTTACGGCTACACTTCCCCGCATGGGCCCCGCTGGGCAACTGGTCGGATTGTCATTATATTACCGGCCAGGCCAACGTAGTCGTTGAATGGAGTTGTATAGGGGAGGTTTGATACAGTGAACAACTACGAGGACAGATTGACATTAAATTAAATACAACTCCATTCACATTCTGTCCAGTGATAGCGTAAAAGCTGGAGGGCAGGGTTTTTCCTTGCCCGGCGAGTTGACAGTGCTTTTGTTTTGGTGAGATTTGGGTTTTATTTAAGTGCGTGTATAGCTTTTTTAAGCCCAGGAAACGGCCTGTTCGAAAGGAGGCAGACGAAAGTCTCACCAAATAACTTGTCTTCAAAGTAAAGGAAAGTACCATCCTTTCTACGGAAAGGCTTTCGCTGGCGAATTACTACCGCGGGCATTACTGTTGTTGTGTATGAATAATACATACAACATTTTTTGGATTTGCAACCGAATTCTTCCAACCATCAATAACTATTACTTCTTCTTATTCATCAATTTTTCTGTGTTCACTTGATATTTTGTTGTGTAACTTATTAAGTAGCGCACCTGAGAGAGTTTTTCTGCATGGTGGTTTATAATTTAGATTCAAAGAGTTAACAAGCTCTTTAAACTGAGTTGATCCAACAACTCTAAATGGTATATTACACCTATATGAAAAATTTTGTCAGTTTCTCATCAATAATTGATAAATCATTAGAAAGATCAGATGGAAGATCTGAGTTTGTATCAGTTCGCTTATGAAATGAAAAATCAGCAGATATTTTTTTTTGTTAATACACCTTGTACCTGTAAGAATATAAAGAATTTATTTAAAATTTAAAGTGGAAAATATTTTTTTTTGCAAGTATAATTATACTTGTTGTTTTTAATATACCTCAGTTTTGTCCGAGCAATCACTACTTTTTGCACCACATACATTTCTAAAATAAATTAAGAGAATGTAATATTAATTATTAAAAAATAACAAGTCATTATTTTTAAATTAAATCAGAGTATAAATGTTTATCAAAAAAATTAGAAATACGGTTGACCCTAAAGGCCATCCCTGCAACTTCCCGCCAATTCTATACCTAAACGCTTGAAATTGCTCTTATGACGTTATAGAGCTCTTCGAGCTTATAAATACAATTTGTATATTATTTTGAGCTCTCCGAGCTTAAAAAAATAGCTTTTGTATGCTTTTGAGCTCTTCGAGCTCAAAAGTTTGATAAAACACTATATTTTTTTAATTTTCAAATCGCAATAACTTTTGAATGAATGAACCGATTTTCATGCGGTTGGTGGCATTCGACGCAGTTTCTTAAGCTTCATAAAAAATCTTTGAGTTTATATTGACAGAGTGGAAAAATTCGGAGTAATTCCGAAAAAACGCTTTTTTTGGTTTTCTTTCGTCAACGATAACTCACGAACGAATTAACCGATTTTGACCGGACTGGCGGCGATTGACGTGGTTTTTTGATGTTAAGAGCTGATTAGTTTTTGAAAATGATCGGTGAAGCCGTTTAAAAGTTATTCCAAAAAAACCACTTTTGAAAAAATTTTTTTTGTAGATTTTTTGCGATTTCTCAAAATCTACCGGTCTGAATCGTTCCAAAGTATATACAAAATCTAAGTTTGGCCAAGCCCTTTCGAATGGCGCCAACCGCGATCAAATCGGTCAAGCCGTTCAAAAGTTATAAGAGGTTTACATCCATATATAATTCTATATAATTATATATGATTATATATAATTCTATATAATTATATATGATTATATATAATTCTATATAATTATATATGATTATATATAATTCTATATAATTATATATGATTATATATAATTCTATATAATTATATATGATTATATATAATTCTATATAATTATATATGATTATATATAATTCTATATAATTATATATGATTATATATAATTCTATATAATTATATATGATTATATATAATTCTATATAATTATATATGATTATATATAATTCTATATAATTATATATGATTATATATAATTCTATATAATTATATATGATTATATATAATTCTATATAATTATATATGATTATATATAATTCTATATAATTATATATGATTATATATAATTCTATATAATTATATATGATTATATATAATTCTATATAATTATATATGATTATATATAATTCTATATAATTATATATGATTATATATAATTCTATATAATTATATATGATTATATATAATTCTATATAATTATATATGATTATATATAATTCTATATAATTATATATGATTATATATAATTCTATATAATTATATATGATTATATATAATTCTATATAATTATATATGATTATATATAATTCTATATAATTATATATGATTATATATAATTCTATATAATTATATATGATTATATATAATTCTATATAATTATATATGATTATATATAATTCTATATAATTATATATGATTATATATAATTCTATATAATTATATATGATTATATATAATTCTATATAATTATATATGATTATATATAATTCTATATAATTATATATGATTATATATAATTCTATATAATTATATATGATTATATATAATTCTATATAATTATATATGATTATATATAATTCTATATAATTATATATGATTATATATAATTCTATATAATTATATATGATTATATATAATTCTATATAATTATATATGATTATATATAATTCTATATAATTATATATGATTATATATAATTCTATATAATTATATATGATTATATATAATTCTATATAATTATATATGATTATATATAATTCTATATAATTATATATGATTATATATAATTCTATATAATTATATATGATTATATATAATTCTATATAATTATATATGATTATATATAATTCTATATAATTATATATGATTATATATAATTCTATATAATTATATATGATTATATATAATTCTATATAATTATATATGATTATATATAATTCTATATAATTATATATGATTATATATAATTCTATATAATTATATATGATTATATATAATTCTATATAATTATATATGATTATATATAATTCTATATAATTATATATGATTATATATAATTCTATATAATTATATATGATTATATATAATTCTATATAATTATATATGATTATATATAATTCTATATAATTATATATGATTATATATAATTCTATATAATTATATATGATTATATATAATTCTATATAATTATATATGATTATATATAATTCTATATAATTATATATGATTATATATAATTCTATATAATTATATATGATTATATATAATTCTATATAATTATATATGATTATATATAATTCTATATAATTATATATGATTATATATAATTCTATATAATTATATATGATTATATATAATTCTATATAATTATATATGATTATATATAATTCTATATAATTATATATGATTATATATAATTCTATATAATTATATATGATTATATATAATTCTATATAATTATATATGATTATATATAATTCTATATAATTATATATGATTATATATAATTCTATATAATTATATATGATTATATATAATTCTATATAATTATATATGATTATATATAATTCTATATAATTATATATGATTATATATAATTCTATATAATTATATATGATTATATATAATTCTATATAATTATATATGATTATATATAATTCTATATAATTATATATGATTATATATAATTCTATATAATTATATATGATTATATATAATTCTATATAATTATATATGATTATATATAATTCTATATAATTATATATGATTATATATAATTCTATATAATTATATATGATTATATATAATTCTATATAATTATATATGATTATATATAATTCTATATAATTATATATGATTATATATAATTCTATATAATTATATATGATTATATATAATTCTATATAATTATATATGATTATATATAATTCTATATAATTATATATGATTATATATAATTCTATATAATTATATATGATTATATATAATTCTATATAATTATATATGATTATATATAATTCTATATAATTATATATGATTATATATAATTCTATATAATTATATATGATTATATATAATTCTATATAATTATATATGATTATATATAATTCTATATAATTATATATGATTATATATAATTCTATATAATTATATATGATTATATATAATTCTATATAATTATATATGATTATATATAATTCTATATAATTATATATGATTATATATAATTCTATATAATTATATATGATTATATATAATTCTATATAATTATATATGATTATATATAATTCTATATAATTATATATGATTATATATAATTCTATATAATTATATATGATTATATATAATTCTATATAATTATATATGATTATATATAATTCTATATAATTATATATGATTATATATAATTCTATATAATTATATATGATTATATATAATTCTATATAATTATATATGAT